GGGAGACGGGGGTCTCCTGGGTGTCATGGGAGCTGCCCCCTAACCCCACCCCGGGCTGGCGGGAGACTGGGGTCTCCTGGGAGCCGTGGGAGCCTCCCCTCCCCTGCTCCGTGATGCAGGCCTCACCTCACTGTTCAGGAAGCAGTAGAGAATGGCCACCACCAGGCCCTGCAAGAGAGAGGGCGTCAGGGCGGCCCAGGGAGCCCGCCCTCGCCTGCCGGCCGCACCCACCTGGAAGGACCCGCCGCACAGCTCCAGCAGGATCTGGTACTTGGCAGAGATGCCGATGGGGAAAGCGGCAAACACCACGTAGTGGATGCCAAACAGCGGGATGAGCAGCAGCGTGGACTTGGCCAGTCTCCTGGGCGAGGGAGAGGATGTCGTGAGTCCCCACCTGCCCACCTGAGGGGTCCTTTCCCAGGTTGCAGGGGCAGGGTGCTGGGCCTGCTCTGCCTCCTCACGGGGACCGGYGCCCGGGAGCCATGGCCCTCATCCCGCCTCTTGCAGGCTTGGTGACTGCTCACGAGGGCCAGAGCCCTCACAGGGAGGCCTGGGGGCTCACCAGCCTCTGTGTGGCCCTCCAGTGTGGCCTCAGGCTCACTGTCCTTTATCACTGCCTTCAACAGTGGAGCAACAGCCCTAGACGGGGGTCTGGTCTCAGACCAAGAGGCAGACCAGCAGAGGGAGGCCCCAGGGGCACACATGGGCCCTGGACATGCTGTCACTGGCTGCTAGGCTCCACACACCCCGTGGCACGGAGTGGCCTGGCTGGAGTGACCGCTCTGCTGGACAGAGACCCAGGAGTGGTCGCCCTGCCCGGGCAAAACACAGAGTTTCTTGTGCTTCAGATTGGAAATGGCACCATGCATCCAGCTCGGCCCTCCTCGCTGCCAGCAGCAGACACCGGCTTGAGCTGACGGAGCTGGTGGGGAGCCCGCAGGTTCCGGGCCCACCCTCAGGTCTGGAGCCTCTGAGCTGGGGTCCGAGAAGGGCATTCACCAGTTCCCAGCGAGACCAGGCTTACGGCTACGGCTTTGCCGCCACTGTGGGGATCTCCACCCTCAAGTCCTACATCCCTGTCTGGGCACAGCAGCCCCGTGGGTGGCCAGGAGCCTGGCCTCACATCCCAGGTGACTCCGTGCCACCCAGCAGTGAGGGTCCCCCGGAAGGACCTGGTCCTGCCCGCCTCAGGGCTGCCAGCAGCCAAGCCCTCAGACGGCCCCATCTCACCTGAAAACCGAGACCGCTGCCCCCCACCCCTCCTCCCTCTGTGGCCTCACGCCACTTAGGGAAAACACCYGTCTCCAAACCTCACCTCTGGGGAAGGCAGGCGCCCCTCGGCCCACAACAGATGTCCTGCGGTCTACCACCAGCAGAATTTCCCCTAAGAGACAACTCTCTCAGAGCCAGAGAGGGTCCCTTCTGCAGTGGGCCTCAGTGTGGGGGGCAGGGGCAGGCACCAGCTGGCTGACTCTGACTCCTGCGTCCCACCAACGTGCACCTTGACTCGGAGCCCAGGGCCTGCCACACCCAATGCCTGGCCCAGGGTCCGCGGGTGGGAGCGGGCCTGGGGGCAGTGTGAGGTGGTAGGGGACCGGGGACCGTTCTCATTCCTGCTGCCCCCAGGCCCAAGCCTGCCGACTGACAGGGTCTCAGGAGGCAGTGGGGGTGTGGCTGACCTCGGGGCCCCTCTCTGCGGAGACTCACGGGGCACAGCTCAGCTCTGCCCTCCTGCCATCCTGGAAGAGCGCAGATTTCATTACCCCCATGTAATTGTGTCTCCAGAATAAAAACATCCATCTCCGGACAGATTTCACACCACTTCCAGGGAACCCGAAGGAAAGGTCAGCTCAGATGTGGAACAAGATTTGCAGAAAACCCCAATCCAATTACGGGTGACCAGGAGTGACCTCATCCCTGCTCCCTGAGCTTCTCCCAGCACAGCCGTGGGGCCTGGCTCTGGCCTGAGCACTCAGCCGGTGGAGTCTGGCTCCAGGTGGGCCGCACAGACACTTCTTCCTGAATCTCCGCACGGTGTGACTTAGACACAGGTGACCCCAGCCCCACGCGGTTCCCAGGCTCTGGCTCTACGGGTCCCCGGGTCTGGCTGCCATGTTTCACCTCACAGACCAGGACACTGAGGACACAGCAGGTCCTGTCCTCGGGCCCGGTTGGGATGAGCCCCAGCATCGTGACCCCAGCCTTCTCCTGATGCCCGCACTTGCCAGGGAGGGACAGGGAGGCCAGTCACCCGAGGATTCGGGGCTGGGCTGGGCCGTCAGGTGACTGAGGGGCCGGCGCTCCTCGCAGCTGGGCACAGGCCTGGGCTGGGTTTCATCCTGTGTGTGGATCATGGAGAGGAGTTTACAGCACCTTGCACTCCTCAGGTCACCTCTGTGTGGTGGTGACTCCCTGCTGAGGGTGTGGGGCAGCACCTGCCCATCAGTGGGCCCCTTCTGGGTGGTGCCCAGACACGGCCTGGCATCGGATGCTCTGTGGCCACACGGCCACGGAGCACAGTCTGATGGGGTGACAAGTGGCCAAGGGGAGGGGACTGCAACGGGCCCTGGCAGACCCAATGGTGTTCTCACTACAGGGGGCCCATGAGCTCCAGGGAAGCCCCCTCTCTCAGCGCCAGACACAGCCGACCTGGCCTCAGCTCCACTGTGTCTGCGGGAAGGGGGCACCTCAGGACCTTCCAGCCAGGGACAGGGCCCGGCGCCTCTGGGACCGACTCACTTGTACTGCGACTGGTCGTTCCCACCGACGTCGGGGGACATCAGCTTCTGCAGCAGAATCCTGATGATGCTGATGAAGAGGATGAAGTTGACCTGCAGGGAGGACAGGGCCCCCGAGTGTTGCCACCTGGACTTCTGTAGGAAGGCCGTGTGGAGCCAGGCCACCCCGCTGGTGAGGACCCTTGGGCCGTGGAGCAGAGCAGCATGTCGATGAGGAAGGACTCACCAGGATGGAGATCAGGATGGGCATCCGGATCACCCACCAGGGGACRCTGTGCTCGTTGGTGTCCCAGCAACTGTGAAGGGAAGGGAGATCCTGCCACCCTGGCCACAGCTGCAGGCCAGTGTGGACGTGTGTGGACACACTGCCCAGGAGGGCCTCGTGCTGGGCCGTGCACCTGGCTGGCTGTTCACCCAGCCCAGGCGCCCAGCTCTGCAGGCGAGAGCTGAGGCTTGTCCCCAGGGGGTGACCGTCTGGGGCTGTCCTCCCAGTGTGACCACCTGCTGATGCCAAGGTGAGCCAGAATGTCCAGGACTCTCCCCGGAGCTGTTTGGGGCTTGACTCAGTTTACACCACGAGAAGGGATTGTTTCCCCTGAAAGTCAGCTTCCTCTCACCCTCTGTGGTTTGTATCTTGAATGAAGGTTTAAAGCCCCCTCAGAACAGGGCAGGAGGGTCCACTAGGAAGTCCTCTGCAGTGACCTCACCTCTGATTTCCAGCTCCAGGGCTGTTTCCAGTGAGAGCTGGTGCTCACTGCCCTTCAGCATCTGCCACCAGCTCTGGCCTCCTCTGGAGGCAGGGGCCCTGTCCCTGTCCCAGGCCCCAGTTGGTTGGGCAACTCCATGTGAGGCACTGGGGCTGGGCCCTGAGCTCTAGGGATTGCTCCCAGGGCCTGGGGCCGGAGGGGACTCAGCCAGTTGCCCCACCGACCCAGAGGTGACCAGGTGAGCGAGCCGGTCGGGAAGACCTGCTGGGAGGCCCCAGGCTGGCCATCTGTGTGAAAAGCTGCTGAACACAGGACTCTTCCAGGTCGCCCACCTTCCGGATCTGTCACCCAGGGGAGAAGGATGCCAGGGCTGTGCAGGAGGCACACCCGCTGGGAGTGCCCTGCCCTCGTGTTGGGGCCATGGCCTGGCTTTCYGTGGACAGAGCAGACGCGCTGGCCCAACATGGCTGTCTGGAGCTTGAGAGTTCTCAAGAGGACAGCCAGCCCTCTGCCCTCGCCATCTCAGAGCTCAGCTGCAGCTGCTCAGTGTCCTTTGGTGGACGGCGCTGTGCTCGGGAGGCCGTCCACCTCCACCTGTTTGTCCTAGTCTCAGCTACCAGGCTGGTTCAACCCCCTTCTCACGCCCCCTTCACGGACACCCTGGAGACCCTTGCCCACACACGGCACCTCCAGTCCTTCCACCCAGGTGCAGGCCCTCCAGTCCAGACACTCGGCCAACACTGCTGGGCCTCACTCCATGGGCCAGGAGTGTGTGCACTCACCCTGTGTCTTCTAGAGAGAGCCGGGTCGCGGTCCACGCGCCTATGCAGATGGTGGGGATGCCTGCAGAGAGACGCCTCGTCAGGGGCTCAGGCAGGAGCAGCTGTGCACACAGACAGCTCCTGCGCTTGGGGCAGCTTGCCAGTCCGAGGACCATGGGCAGGTCTAGCTCCAAGTTGGCCTCAGTGTTCACACTCGGGCCTTGACAGGGAGCTGGGGAGGGGAAACATGTCTGAAAGCTGAGGATCAAGCCGAGAGTCTGCAGGTCTGCCTGTCCCCACCTCGAGGCATCCCTGCCCTGGTCAGAGCTGGCTCTGCTGCTGGCTTGTGAGCCTGCCCACCTCTGGCCCTCTGCCTGGTGCCCACCATGTCCTGTGCACTGGGTGGGGGAGGAAAGATGAGTGCCATGTGGCTGCCTGTTTGCAGTTCAGGCTGGACCCGGGGTGGAAGGGGCCAGGAATTGGATTCAYAGTTCAGACCCTGGTTACCAGAAACACCCAAGTGTGGCCTGCAGGAACCTCGGGTCGGCACAGCCTGACCCTGCAGTGCAGCCTCCGTGCTAGCTGGTCAGGTGGAGCCCTTACCCCATCCGATCAGGAGATAGGCCAGGAAGCACCTGCCGGGCGGGAGGACGGCCACSAGCAGCGTGTGCAGGTAGAGCCCCTCCACCAGGAGCCAGTAGAAGTTCGCCATGATGCAGTACTGGAAGAAGACCAGGCTGAGCTTGCAGCCGACCTGGAGCAACACAGACAGCAGGAGAATGTGCCCGGGACAAAAATAGCTTGCGGCAGGCAGCAGTACTCTGTTTGTATCAGGACGGCCAGGGTGCTGCGTGGGGGAATGATCCACGCAGGGTGTGGTGCTGACCAGGAATGTGTGCGATGTTGGAGGGAGGCCCTGGGCACACCCCACGCCAGGGTCCATCTGCTCAGAGCCTGGAACTCCCCAAGAGAAATACTGGCAGAGGTGGAGGTGAACACCCTCCCGAGAGGTGGCACGGGCGGGGCAGGCCACCCTTAGGCTCAGCACGCGCCTCCACACCGGTCCACCTTCCCGCCTGGTCACAGGGCTCCTCTGGCTCTCCACTGTGGACTCGACTCCTGCCCCACTGGGACACGGGTTGAGGAGGGGGAGGGGGAGGGGGAGGGGGAGGAGGGGAGGGGAGGAGGAGGGGGAGGAGGGGGAGGAGGAGGGGGAGGAGGAGGAGGG